AAAAATATAATTTTATTGATTTCAGAGAGGAAGAGAGAGATAGAAACATCAATGATGAGAGAGAATCATTGATTGGCTGCCTCCTGCATGCCCCACACTGGGGATCTGCTCACAACCTGGGCATGTGCCCTTGGCCAGAATTGAAGCCGGGACCCTTCAGTCTGCAGGCTGATGCTCTACTCACTGAGCCAAATCAGCTAGGGTGGCTTTGTTTTTAATAAATAACACACTGAAGTATTTAGGAGTAAAAGAGTATGGAGACTCGAAGTCTCATGGTTCAGAAAAAAAATGCACATATTTATACCTATGTAAAGAAAGAATAATAAAGCAAATGGAGCAAAATGTAAATAATTTTGAATTCAGAAAAAGGACTTAGGGGAGACTTCCTTCTACTATGCTTGAAAATTTTTTGTAAGTTTGAAATTATATTACTTGAGATCATTTGTTCCACCTCCTTACTTTGACGAGGTGACAATTCAGATTTTGGAAGGTGAAGACTTGTTCAAGGCCACACAAGTTAGTGACAGGGTTATGGCCAAACCTCAGATCTCCAGATATGGGTCCTCAAGTAAATCCGTTGTTGTTTGTGTTTGAATGACAAAGGTTGAGCCACTCCTTTTTACTTCTCTTTTTAATGTCTTGGTTCCTTAGAGCTAGTTCCTTCTACTAGAGAACCAGAGTAACAACGGAATGCTTCTTTCAGTTCCTTCATGATTAGGCAAGGATCAATTTGAAGTTTTTGAGCTATATGGTTGGGATATCTCTTTCCTCTTGTAGGTTCAACATTTTCTTATTGCCAGCCTCTTTCTGTACATGATTGGCTTTCTTTTATATGGTATTATTTGTATTCCCTCTCCCAGAGACTAATGTTGCATTATTGTTTAAACTTCTTCCCATAGGCCACTCCATTTCAAGATTTCTTCAATATTATCTAAAGAAAATTGTATGTTTTCATTTCTGTGATTCAGCTTCCTTAACTGATGGAAAATGAAGGCATAATACACTGAAAAGAAGGGAATATAGCATCTCAGAATTAGTCTTGAAATAAGGAGATTAATTACAACAATAGATGTGGGGCCGTTTAATAGTTTTACCAGTTACTGAGTAATATCAGCTTTATAAAAAATTAAATAAAATCTATCATTTTCTATGTCAATCAGTATAAATCAGGTCATTGTCTTTGGTGTGAGATAATGGAAAATATTAATTTGAATCATGAAATTGTCATTTTTTTGGGTAACAATTGAATATCAATAATTTCATGTGGCTCAACCTAATAGAAGAAAGCATATTATTAGGTAGTAATGTATTTTCTCTTCTCTTACAGCAATGGTAGAAAAATAGAGATAGTTCATGTGGTATCTGCTTTTGACTCTTCAACTTCTCAGTTTCTTTTCCTATCCTGGCTGTTCTTCTGTCCTGATACACTTTGTGAGAGTCTTTCTAGGCTTCAGATTCTTCCAATTTTCCATGTTGGTTTCTATTAGCTTCCCATGCCTGGGAGCCTTTCAGCAATTGATAGACAGTTAGAAATGGAACATCAGAGGCATTTTGTTCAATCTCCTTATACTTCAGATGAGAAAACAGAGGCTAGCATCTTTCTGTACATGATTTCTTCAATGTGAAGAAATAATTGTATTTTCTGATTTTTACTTCCTGGTGTGATACCATGGGGAAGTAGCTGGGATAATTTTATTTTAAGGTAATGAAAGATACCCTTGTACATTTGTATATCTATTGTACATTATTTTATACTTACAGGATATTTTGAAAATAATTTTTAAAAATATGTTTTTATTGATTTCATAGAGAGAGGGAGGGAAAGGGAGAGATAGAAACATCAATGAGAGAAAATCATCAATTGGCTGCCTGCTGCACACCCCCTTACTGAGGCTTGTGCCTACAACCTGGGCATGTGCCCTGACCAGAATTGAACTAGCAACTTCTTGGAGCACGGGATGATGCTCAACCAATTGAGCCACACCAGCCAGGCTGAAAATAATTTAAGAAAAAATAGTGGTTGATAATATTTGTCTTTACAATAAAAACTTTCATAGCCCAATGGAAACATTTGAAAGGAATCAGAATATTATTATTTTTTAATGAATGAGTGATCTTTTGTTAAGCCCCAAAGTGTAGAATCTTGAATTGCCTTTTGATTCTGTTGAAAATATGCCATATATTTTATTCCTAAAATATCGAATGGTTTATTTGAAAAAACCTTTGGGAATCGTGTTCAGGGAAGCAGAGTAAAATATAAAGAAAAAAGATTTAGCATGGGGGAAGTGGAAGATTTCAAGGTAAGGAACAAATCTTTGGGTCCGAAGAATATTGTAACAATTTTAAAAGGACAGAGCAGAGGTAATTGCTTTCTTATACTTTATGTGTTGTTAGTTTTTATCCTCACCAGAGGATATGTTCTTATTTATTTTTAGAGAAGAAGTAAGGAAGAGAGAGAGAAACATTGATGTAAGAGAGAAGCATCAATTGGTTGTCTCCCAAAGGAGCCCTGAACGGGGATTATACCTGCAACCTTTTGGTGTATAGGAAGACACTCCAACCAACTGAGACACCCGGCTAGGGCATACTTTATGTATTTTTTTTAAAAATATATTTTATTGATTTTTTACAGAGAGGAAGGGAG